GCTGTTGTATCCTGGAGGGGACAAGTCAAGAAGGACTACTGCTGGACCGGTGAAAACATTTGCTGCAGTGGGCTTGAATCTCCTTAAAGAGAGCGAGATATCCGCGCCTCAGCCTGAAGAGATTTATTTTCTTCATATTTATTTTCAATTGTAATCTTGTATTTTTGTTATCTTGTAAGTTTTCACTAACAAATATATTATCGCATTTCAAGTCTCGATGAATGATAGGTGGATTCTGACTATGGAGATACTCCAAACCTTGAAGAACCTGCCTTGCCCAATTCTTTATAGCCTTCATATCAACACTTTTATACTTGTTACGGTATCTACATTCACAAATAAACTACCATTTTAAAGAAAAATAGAATAAGCAAATGAAGAAACTATCAAGAAAACTCACTGTCTCAGGTTCCCAGACGTGAAGAGCTCAGTGATCATGTTAACTGTCTTCTTCTTGTGATCGATCCACGAATCGTATAACTTCATTACATTTTCATGTTTCAATTGTCTTAGAAGATCAATCTCTGAATACAATTTTTCCAAACTTTCTGATGACTGCACGTCCTCAATTTTCACTCGACTCCATGCAACTTCAATGCCCTCAAGTAGATCAAATGCCTTGTAGCTAAAAAAAACAGAATTCAAGAACAAGACAAAACAACTTAATTATTTCAATTAAAAGAATTCTCAATTATATTTAGTCATATTAAATTCAGAGATCAAAATGAAAACCAAAAAAAAAAAGAGACAATAGGTGAAGAACATACACAGTCTTGAATGCTCCCTTTCCCAATACCTCATTATACTGTAAGAGAAAACAAAAGCAGGTGTGTTATAAAGGATTGTCAATGAACAAATATTTTTTTAACTTGTGCTCCGAATATTTTTTTAGTCCAACCAAAATACAAATATCTGAGGTGTTTCTTAAGAAAAAATAACACAAATATGAGATGAGTGATGACACTAAAATATTCAATAAACAATAATAATGAAATAGTATAAAATAAATATTGCAAATTGACAAGTCATAATGAAAATGATCATAATTTAATAGTACTAAATCATGCTAAAATAGGTCTAATAAGTATAAATTACATGATTAAACATTAAAGAAAACTAAAATTATGTTATGTATTTTAAATGTCTAAACCAATATAAAACTAAAGAACAATTATTCAACATTATTATCATTCTTAGTGTTGAATTAATTTATTTTGTTAGCATTAGTATTCATTTGATTTTGAATTGAGCTTTATTAGAATTATGAAACTTGAAAAAATATTAGACCATTAAAATTCTAAGTCTCAAAAAAACTGAAAAATTATGTTAAAAGATAAAAATTATGAAAACGTATAAATAATATTCAGAAATTACATCAAAATAAATACTTTTATGTATAAAATAAAATTTTAAAATTATATACTCCCTCTGTCCCAATTTATATGACTTACTTTCCTTTTTAGTCAGTCCCAAAAAGAATGACACATTTCTATTTTAAGTAACAATTTGCCTATAAAATGTCTTTTTTACCCTTAATGAAATGATTTACAACCACACAAATTTCTATCATTCATTTTGGACCACAAGTTTTAAAAGTCTTTCCATTTTTCTTAAAGTTTGTGCCAAATCAAAGTACATCATATAAAATGGGACGGAGGGAGTATATAATGTCGGATTGGTTTGGTTTCGGGTTGACTTTTTTTAATTAAAAACAAACCAACTCAAGTATAGTCGGATCATTTTTCGGTGAGCTGAAGTTGCGCCATATCCTACCTAGTTATTTCACCCCAATATTTCTTAGGCCTACCTTTACCCCTCTTCAAGCCCTCAATGGCCAGTCTCTTGCACCCAACTCATTGGGACATCTGCACATTTCCTCGTCACACACCTGAATCATCATAACCTTACATCCCACATCTTATCCTCCACGGGGGCCATTTCTACCTTGGCTCGAACAACTTCACTCCTAATCTTATCATTCCTAGTATGCCTAAATATCTATCTCAGCATCCTCATCTCAAGCTACTCTCATTTTCTAAACATAGAAAAATTCTTGACTGACCAACACTCCACCTCATATAACATAGTCGGCATAACAATCACTCACATTCTTATCACAATGAACACCGGATGCGAGCCTCCATTTTATCCACCTCGCCCTATTACAATGTGTGACATCCTCCTCAATCTCTTTGTAACCTTGAGTAACTGACCCTAGGTACTTGAAACTTGCTCTCAATTTTTTTTAAAAGTATTTTCTCTAGCAAAAATAGGAAAAACAAGCTCCACAACTAACATTCCACATTATTTGTCTCCTCTCCACCCTCCACAACACACCCTAAGCCCCATCCCCACCACCTCACATCCCTACCCCTACTAGATTATATACAAATATAGTTTGGAAATACTATTTATTTTCTAATAAAACATTTTCCTTCGAACCAAAATCAAAACTTGAATAAGTAATATAGAAATGTAAACGAATTACCCTAACATATCGTCCATTGGGATCTTTCTCAACATAGTCATGTTGCAAATTGAATGTCTCATTAGCCCAATTTCCAATTCCAGCCCGAGAAATCATTTCTGTTGAACAAAAAGAAAACACAACGACGACGACGAAGAAACAAGGTTTTACTCAAAGACAAAAGAGGATTTCATCAAGAAAAAAGTGATTTTTTTGAATGACTCAAAAGGCCAGGGAGGAAGAAGAATTGTCGTCGGAATCGACATTGGGTATCATTGAGATCCACCCAATTCGTCGAATGAAATATACAAATTGATTTAAACGAAGATGTGATTCTTGTTTCCATACCATTCTCCATTATAAAACGAATTTTTACAAGTTTTCTTCATTCAAGGCATACAACAACTAGCACTTTATTTGCTTTACTCAATTGTTGGGATGATATCAAAAAATAGCATCAACATATAAAATGTTGATTAGAAAAAAATGGGATAAAACGAAAAAAAGGGAGAAACGGAAGGTTTGTTAAAAGGGAATTTGATTGCTAAATAAAAGGAAACAAACACTTGGGCTCTGTTTTTAGTTCATATGTTTTTTTGTATATTCCATAATGTAACGTAAATAGAAAAACAGGAGAAAAAAATACATTTGAATTATAAGGTTAAATAGAAAAACAGGAAAAAAAAATGCATTTGAATTATAAGGTTAAATAGAAAAACAGGAAAAAAAAATGCATTTGAATTATAAGGTTAAATAGAAAAACAGGAAAAAAAAATGCATTTGAATTATAAGGTAAAAAAAATTTATGCGGTGAACGTGGATCGAACACGTGACCTTCAGATCTTCAGTCTGACGCTCTCCCAACTGAGCTATCCCCGCTTGTTGATATAAAATCTAACATAACATTTAATATATTTGTTTCTTTTTAAGAGTAAATATAAATGACATTTTTGATTTTTCAATATAGTAATTTGTTATATATGTGAGTTTTTTTAAAATAATAATAATATAGTGCTTGATAATTTAAAGGTAAATTATTCTAGTCTGATTTGAATTCAATTAACAGTTTTAATATTAAAAAAAAATGATAGTATGATAATCAAGATCAAGGAGACGATACATTAAAATAAAAATCATATGATATTATGAGCTTCTTCAATAATAAATATGTATGGTTATTTACTTCACATTCTCTCACTTTTTTTTTTTTTTTTATCTTCTATTAATAATATAATATTTTGATTTTAAAAAATTGATAGTCATGTCTCAACCATCCGAAAGATTAATTTATATATTCAATTGGATTTGCTTAGGGATAGCAATTGAGCGGGTTGAGTCGAATTTGGGCGGGTCATAACAGGTTAAGATAACAATCGGGTCAAGATCCAACCCAACTTAAATTTGTTTGGGTCAAAATGGGTTAGATGGTTATATAACAGGTCAAAACTCAACCCAACCCAATTTTTACCAAGCTTAATTGTTTTATTTGTTCTTTTAAAATATTTTAATGCCTAAAATTATTATTTTTCTTTAATATGACTATATATAGCATATCAAATTGAAAAATAATTTTTAAGAAAATATTTTGACAAAATGTCTCATGAGCCAATTAGAATTACATATCAACCTAACCCGTCCAAACTTAAATGAATTAGGCAAATAAATTGGATTGAATTTGATTTTACCACCCTAATCCATTAGGTTGAGCAAATGAATTGAATATTACATTGCGATTTTGTAAACCAGAAGTTGGTTTGTATATTCAATTGGTTTTCACATGATTTTATGATCCACAGAAATTTCATAGTATATCTAAAACCATAAGTTCAAAAAATATTCTTTCTTAAACATCGTGAAAAACAAAAATTAATTTAAGAAAGTTAAAAATAATTATAATATTATAGTACTATACACATATACGCCATTTTTCTAAAAAAGACATTTATTAGAATGAAACAAATAAGTCAAAAGGCAAGTATTTTTTTAATTATTATTATTATTAAATATTTTTAAAAGTGGATTTATTTGTATGATCGGTGCAAAGGTGGACTAGACCTCATCATTCAAGAAAAAGGTCCTCTTGGCTACTTGATTATATTTCAACCCCTCTATACAGTTTTCTTTAATGAAATTTACTTTTCAAGATTTAAAAAACAGAGCAATTTCAAACTCAAATTATTATGGTCAATGTATTTTATTTTTAAAAAATTTAATGAATGATTAAATACTTATCCACTAAATATTCAAAAAAGTGAATATATTCGTACAACATACTAGTGCGTAGGGCGGTTCAAAATTGAATAAAAATCGATAATTTGAACAGAAAAAAAGTTATTAGCGATTTTGGATTATCGGTTTTTAATGGATTAACCAACTATCCGATAGTAAATTAAATAATTATATTTATACGTACCATTTGGTATATAAAATCTTTGACGTAGAGCTTAGTTTTATACTTTTATTTCTAGTTGTCTCAAACTTTCGATCATTCAATGTAACAGTGTTGCTTTTGAGCCAGATGCAATTTGTCAACTCATGTGCATAGTTCATTCTATCACATTGTTTTAAAGTGGTTTTCAATGTTTTCTTTTGTGTCAAATCTTAACGGTTAGACCGATAATCGATAACTGATAAGTTAATATCTTAATTGTTCTATAATGGTTTAGCATGTCTATAAACCCATAATCAATAAATCGAACTGATAAACTTTAAAACGACCGATACGCAACTCTAAATTATATACTAGAGTTAAACTATCCGATATTGAAAAGTTGCTCCCTCCTTGTCAGCATCGATATTCTTCGTGATGAACAGGGGTGGAGCTGTCCATTCCATAAATAAAATCTATATCTTTCATTAATTTTACCACTTCTTTAGCTAATTTATAAGCCACCTGATTCTGCATTCTGCGTCTATGGGTGATTTGTGGGTTCCCCAGCTTCTGGAGTATTGCCTTAGCAATTTTTCTATCATAACAAAATAGATGATCATGCTTGTTATGGTATAATTTAAACTTGAAACCTTAAGGTGAATTTTATATTTCTTAAATTACTAAATCATTCTTTAGTCTTTTAATTTAAGAAATTCAAAATATATACATTAGAAATAAATAAAAACTTGTATATATGTGAATAACCTCACCCCATTCTAAATCCGCACCTAATCACTTATTAAGTTGAGGTACTAGAATCATGTATTACTTGTCGAATTATTCCAAACAAAAGCAGTATTGCCTTTATAATTATAATTAGGGAAAAGGGATAAATAGTAAGTATTATTTAATTTTGTAATTTTAAAGCTGATATAGTTTTTGTTGAAAATTTAATGTGTGTATATATATATAACAAAATGATGTATATTTACCATTTTCATTAACAAATCTATATTTTCTACAATTTTTTTAAAAAAAATTCTAAAATTGATTTTTAATCCCAAAATGCCACATTATTTTGAAAAATTACCTCACCTATTTTTCTTTACCTCTCTAGACCAAACCCAAATGAACAATAACATCCAGCATCACAAAAAAAAACAGGTGAGTTCTTTTTTTTTAAGTCATAACATTTTTGAACTTAAATTAGTTTTCAAGAATTTTCAATAAATATAAATCTGTTAATGAAAAAGATAAATGTATATCATTTACTACATTATCAATATATATATATATATATATATATATATATAGTATTGAAAATATTATAGCATCATAGCTATGACTAGTATGCAGATATACTTGTTTCATTTCTGAAATTGCTTTATCCATATGAAATAAATATATATATATATTATTATCATATCATATCATATCATATATTATTAAAAGTGGGAAGCATCAAATACAATGTTGGATTACCATTTTGCCCCTATATTAAATAAAAATGTTATAAAATATTAAATAGTAATCATATCACATATTATATTGTACTTAAAATATATATTCTTACATAAAATAGATACATTAAAAAGACAATTATTCATTAATAATCTTCTAAAGAAACTCTTGTCTCTTTACATTCTCCACTATGATCCTTGTCTTTTCATTTCACATATGTATATCTTCTTGTTCGTTACATTTTGTTTTATGAGTTTGATAGAGAGCATAGGAACATTGTCCTTTCCGGTGCTCCATTCATGTGTATGTTCTTTTAAGTTATTTTTTATTTTGTTTCTTACTTCTTACTTATCATATAGTTTATGTTGTTTGATTGATGTTTAAGATTTTGATCTCTGATATAAAATAAAAATTTTAATTTTGTGTCAATAGCTTATGAGATGATTTTTTTTGTTGCAGGGAAAATCAATTGATGAGATGCTTCTGTGTCAATCGCATAGAACT